TCCACTTACTTTCTTTTTGTTGTTGTTGTTGTTTTTTTTCGCAAAAATTGGAAAAAATGGAATAAAATATAACATAAAAGCACTATTGAACTTCAATAGCTTCAATGTGGTGGTTAGCTCGAAATTGTATGTGGTTTTCAATATCCTATTTCAGATCTGATCCAAAAGACGATACCTACAGCACATGCCTCCTGCACAAACTTATTGACTGGCTGACTGGCTGACTACCGGACCAAATTAATAAATGAATGAATAAATGTCTCTTCAATGCCCTTCTGATTTGTCACAGAGGTATTTTTTTAAGATCCCCTGACTGCTATGTCCCAACCAAGGATTACATAAGATGGAATCCTATTATTATCACTGAAAAGCGTGTGTATGATTGCCATCAGGGTACTGACTGGCATGCAGCTGATAAGCAATGAGGAAAAAATGCTAAGGTGACAAACACATAATGTTTTTTGCTGATTGCAAATTATAGTTTTCACAGTTCAAACTTTTTTATAGGTCATGTACATGTGGGAATAAGATGGCAGGCTTTTACTGGGCCAAATCCCTCTAAGCTGACATCGCTGCTGATTTGTTTGTATCCTACAATACATTTCTTTTAATTTACACCAATTTTCTTTGCACATATTTCAATGTGATTGAAGGTGGTGCATAATTTTTCTGCAGTTTGTATTTATATACTTTAGTTCAACCTCCCTCCCTGGAGGTTCATGGTCAGTGTCAGACTCTGCATTCAGGAAGGTTCAGATTTCCTTGTCAGATAAAAAGAGGGTTTTTTAGACTGGTAGCAGGCACACATTTGTAACTTACGCCAGTGATTGTAGAACTGTAATTCAGAGTTTGTTGTCAACATTGTAATTTTTTCTTGTTGCTGCCTTTGCAGTATTTATGTGATTGTATTAAAAACCTAGCCTACCAGCTAGAGGAACAAGACTGTAGTGTTTGTGAATGTTTAAGTCTACCCTCCCCACCCCCCTTGTTTGAATATCGGAGTATGCGTGTTGCGATGTTAATAATTAAAACAACGTGTTAGATTCCTTCCAAAGGTGTTGTTTACTGTTTGTGTTAAATCCGTTAATTCACTACAAAGACCAAATGAAAAAAAAAGTAAATGTAGACCTATTCTTGAAAAAAAGTGATTCAAAAGAGTGTAAGACTAATTTGGAGTGTAGAAAAATAAAATGTGAAGCAAACCATAATAAAAATAGGCAAACACGACTGGTCTTGTGTGGTGCCGTCATGGACGAAGTCAAGCGAGAGGTATGTATTTATTTATTATTTATTTAACTTTATTTATACACGGATAAAACATCAGGACTTAAATTAATTACTAAAATTGCATTAATTACATTATTAAGATACTAATCTACTACTAATTAAATCTAATAACAGCAAAATAAAAACAATGATGAAGTGCCTGCTTTCCATGAATGCTGTGTGATTAATTAACTTATTTGTTATCGAAAATGAAACCCCTGCAGCCGGATTTAAAACTAGCAATAGCTTGTGCTTGCCACAGATTGGTAGGTAAGCTGTTCCACATCATCACCGCACCATTATTGTTGAAACTGTTTTTTAGAAAATTGGTGCGGGGGAGTGGAACAGCCAATTTGCCTTCATAATTCCTAAGAGAATAGGCAGATATTGCTCTCGTTGGAGATTAAGTTTTTGCCAGCCTAGTCTAGCAAAGAGATCATCCGCATTGGCTTCATATGAAGAAGAGGTCAAATACGCGCAGCGCAATTCTGTAGTTTTTGTCGTTTAACGGAAAGAGATTTATTGCAATTCCCCCATACGACTCTACGGTAACCGAAATGAGGTTGAACTAAGGCATTATAGATGCATAGGAGCGTTTCAAAAGGAACAAAAGATCTGCTTCTTTTCAAGATGCCAGTGCAGGAGGCAATTTTTTTAGAAATATGTTCGATAGGTACGTTCCAAGTTAAGTTTTCATCTATATATATTCCAAGAGGTTTCGTAAATTCTATTTATTTTATAGAATTACTGTCAGTAGTAAAAGAAGGGAGTCTATTAAAAGTATTTAACCTTTGCCTTGAACCAATCAACATAAACTCAGTCTTTGACTTATTAAGAGTGATTTTATTTGCCGATAAAAAGACAGTAATTTTAGTTAGATCATCGTTCATATTTTCCTCCACATAGGAAACATCGTTACTGGCAAAGGTCAAATGATAATCATCCGCATATATTCTGGGATGTGAGTTAACAAGACAGTTCGGTAGATCATTTATGTAGAGTATAAAGAGGAGAAGTCGAAGTATTGTACCTTAAGGGATACCGCAAGTTAAAGGTTGACTATCTGAGAGAGAGCCATTTACAAAGCATTTCTGCGTACGATTGTTCGAGTAAGATTTAAACCAGTCAGCTGAGTTGCTTCTGACACCATAGGCTTTCAATTTAGATAGCAACGTAGAGTGATCAAGGTGTCAAAAGCTTTCTTCAGATCGAGAAAAATCACTGCATCAGCATTACCTTTATCGATATTAAAAGCCCAATTATCTGTGGCCATATCTATTTCTTTGTACGTTAATCCCTCAAAGTTGAAGCAGGTGGGTCAATAACCTGACTTACTTTGTCTGGAATTATGTGATTATATAATAGATAGTTAGCAGTTTCAAGAAGTTTGTGGACTCCTCGACGTGTGCGTGACCAGCGGCGTTCACGACGAAAGGTAAACCTTAAAAGACTTTCAGCTGTTATTCACTTTTAAACTTAAAATATTTAGATTACAGTGCACAGAAGTTTTTGTGTTCAATATTGTTGACTCACTGAGAAGTAGAGGCAAAGTGAGTAGATAAAATCATTGTTCTTGTTTGTTTGTTTTCTGCTTTGTCTTTTTCTTCATTTTCTGCTACTGTGACCCACATACTTCTTGTTATATTTGATTAAGAAAGACGTATTCAAAGATTTCTTTTTAACTTCAGCCGTGTATAACACCAAAAGCAGCATATCAGAATGAAAAAGAAGAGACTTCTTTGTTACGCGAAATGTGGTCGGAAGTCGGGAGATCTTTTTCTTGGCACTTTCTACGCATCTTTAGTGTGTACCGTTTAGTTTCAGACACTATGGCAAAACAAAGGCTTCCCGCTTGATCGCCTGATGTAAAAGCGAACCCAAAGTGATTTAATTTTTGTTCTAGTCTTTGTTTGAGTTCTCCAGATTAAAAAATCACTTCATTTAGGCGCTTTTAGAAAGGATAAATGGCGGAACGATTGATTCTCCAATAGATGCAAATACCCGATTTCTAGCTCACCTGCAATTTCTATCGTCTTCAAACTAAACTTTTGAAGTCAGATTTCAAGTCAAAACGCTTCAGTAACAGCTTAATTTACCGTCTTAGCAGATTACTCTAAAGACCGAGTTCTCCGTTCTTCCCTCCTCGTTCATCGTTTATCGTTTATCGTTTTTAGTAACATCCCTCCAGAACATCACATTCTGTTCCATTGTTTAAGTTAGTATGCATGGTCATACTGATACTGATTTATAAATGACATGTCAAGCATACACATAGCATGTGCTACACTGTTAAGAATGAGAATTCAAGAATGATTTTTCATGATTTGAAAAAAGAAAAATCACCAGCACTCTTTGAGTTTAGTGAAGAGCATGTACGCGACCTCTCAATATCAATGAAATTAAGGGTTTGATCCTTTGAGCTTGGCGGGAGGTCCAATAATTCAGTGCGACATCGTTTAGTCGCATCGCTTTTTATGTTACGATTTTAGAACTAGCTATCGTTTCAGCGAAGAATGTGGTGGAAGGAATAACCACAGTGTTTGACGAATGTATGGTCTTGATGACCAACAGACTCGGACCTCTGGTCAGAGAAAGCATCTAGCGGTGGAGGAAAATGAAAATGAAAGGAATATGTAGGAATATTGTACGTATAATGTCTACGTAAACTTTCTGCACACTTGACTACGTAACACAAGTGAAACAGAGTCATTTAATAAAAGGCACCGGTGTAGACTTTTTGGGTTTGTAAAACTGATGATCAAAAACGAAATAATGAAATTCTTCTCAGAAATCGTTGTAGGTAATCGGCCACAATTTTATGACGTTCTTTCTCGATAGAAGGCAGAATGAATTGTGAAGCGAAATCAGAGTAGACCTCAAATCAGTTTTGACTAAAAGGCCATTTGATAGTTTCTGTCTCTATGTAAAGCTGAATGCCAACCATTTGATAGCTGCAACGGTTACTACTTATTTTGTTAGTTGATTATGTCATATCTCGAGAGAACCGCAATCTAAGTGACTCAAGACTAGCAGCGTAAACCCCTATCGAAGTGCAAGAGAAGAGGATAGGGTTCTCATTGTGATTGGATATTTTGAAAGAGAATATCAATTATTAACTGCTGAACACAGCTGTTAAGGTATGATTTAACCGACAGAAAGAACACCTATGATACTCCTACAAACCCAACTACCTTATCAAACAACGTGTGATATTCTTACCAAGGAGCGACTCCTAAAAAAAAACAAAATAACGTTAGGGAATATTTCCAAACAGACGCTAAACTCTCCTTCATTTGAATGTTAAGACTATTCCTCAGGTATCCTCTACTCCAGACTGAAAGAGCGTTATTTTAATATTAGGTACTGTTTCTAGTACAATTATTTATATCAGCTGAGGAAAGAAGGGTTTTGACCAAAAGGTAACCTAGTTTATAATTATGTAAGATTGATGGACTCTTAACCTCTACTGAGAGTGACCGGAGAACATGGTCTCTTGGATGTAAGTCTCCTGAAACACGTACAAGCGATTTTTTGCACTTCCGGAAGCTCTGTTACTTTGGTTTGGTTTTGTCCTTCCTTCAAAGGAGAGATCTACAGAGATGGGTCAAGATATATTACATCAATTTCGTGGAGAGAAAGTTGTGAACTCATGTACGGCATCATCATGTAGACAGAGTCAACTCAGAACTTTTCAACACTTTTATTATATAAAAAACATTAAAGTTATTACATTAGCAACGTATCCAAGAAAAAAAGACTTCAACCCGTACTTACGACCAGTTTCGTTGAATAATAGTATCTCGTAAGCGAAAACTATCGGCCTGTTAGGCCAAACAACAAACTTTGTTGCAGAAGTAATGTGTCAAGTATAATTTTGATTAGAATTCCGTATAAAAGTATTTCGAGTTGGTATCGCAAGTAAAGGCAGTCTTTGGGAAATCAATGTATGCGCACGATTAGCTTTCCAAAAAACAAGCGGGTTTTGCGGCAAAAATTTTTAGAAATTTATTAAAATTGTACACAACTATGGCTTTCAGAGCGAGATCTCATCACCACCTCAGAATTGAGCCAGAAAATAAACTGAACTCAAACGCTTGTGACGAGGCATATATGTAAGTACTTAATATGTTAAGGAGAAAATGAGATTAAACTTTATCGGTAAACTTATAAAAGCGTTTCAGCTTTTAAGAATATGAAGTCAATTGAATTGCAGTGTAACAGCCTAACTGCTAAACGCAACATGGCTATTTCTACCAAGTAAGCGTGTAAGGAAACGATGATTAATCCCTGTAACATGTCTGGGCGAAGTGTTCAAAATATTAGCAGGTCATACACCGTAGACGTGTATCTAACTACACCGTTAAATCCTCGACGTTTGCATACAATTGCTTGTCGTACATTTTCATGTCAATTAGCTTCTGCAGAGAAAAATTATATAATAATCAGCAACACTAAAAAAGTTTTAAGTGGTTATCCTCGTGAGTGGTCAGGTTTTCACACCAAAACAAATTCAAGGAGGAAGTATTTTATGGCGTCGTCATCTGCTACTCTTTGTGCGTCTCAATGCAGTTTCGCAATCATCCTATGATCTTTTAAATAACCATTACGTGTTAATTGTCATTGAGACATTCTAGTTCACTTCTTTGATGTTTTTCGTGGAGTGCTAGCTTCAGTGACTTAAGAAAAAGATGCAATCCAAACTTAGGCTCAATGCTGTTAAGTTTAACCTTTATTAGCTGAGCCTAAGCCAGTCGGTCCTACGTGAAAAGAAACTTTCATATTGATAAAAATTCTGACCTTGTGTAGGGTTTCCATGTCCTTAAGCTGATTTTTCAATTCAGTGAAAGTTGGTCTTGTGTCTGGGTCATTCTTCCAGCATTTCATCATGATCTGATACCTGGTATTATTCAAATAATCTGTTAAAGATTTAAAGAATGTTTCCTTGTACGACGAGGGAGAAAAAGTAAATAAAGAAAACTTACAATTTTTCATCGACGTGTTGTGGTTTAGGCATCCTGTATCCATCCTGGAGTAAGTTTGCAATTTTTCTTCCATCCATTCGTGGGTAAGGTGAACCGCCTGGAAGAACCACAAGACCATCGAAATACAAATATGACAAAAAAACGACCTTCAATGAAACACCACCTTTGTCACTAGATGTGGTTTGAAGCTCATTACGTTTGTCTCATTGAACACGATACATTGTTTAATTAAACATAGTATAAAGCAAAAAACATCTACAGAGCCTCATAAAATTCCATTCGATATTACCTATGGTGAAAATCTCGTATAACAGAACTCCATAACTCCATCTGCAGAAAGACAAATCAAACGAATATAAATAAAGTGACTATTGACATAAACAATATATACGACGAATAAAATATATGTATTCTTTGACAAAGCATCACTAGAATTCAAGTCCAGACTAAAATTGATAAAATTGTTGATAAACTGCTACGGGTAATAATCAGGTGTACTTACACGTCACTTTTGGTGGTATATTTACCATACAACAAGGCCTCATAAGCTGTCCACTTCACGGGAAGACGGCCCTAAAGATTTTAAATATCACTTTGTGAAACAGCTCGAGAATTATAGGAAGCGAGTAGTCAAAAATAGTGATATTTAAAATTGTACTCGTATACGCATGGCTGACAGTTTCATTAGGGTCCCAAGGAATTCATGATCGAAATCAGGAATATATCAGCTCAACCACAACAACGATTGTCAAAGATTACTAAACTGAACGAAATGTAATACCGCCCTCACCTCCCCTTTTTCTTGATTACCTTTGTCTTTCGTTCATAAATATTTTCCTGCTGCACATCTCTGGCCATTCCGAAGTCTGTCACTTTACACATTTCCTTTTGTCCAACTAACACATTACGGGCCGCAAGGTCTCGGTGAATGATCTAAGAAAGAATTGATGTAAGAGCAAAAATTAGTGATTGTAGAAGAAAAAGAACTGAAATGAAATGGTTTAGAGAGGAAAATAGAAATATCTAGCAACATAATATGGTGTTGTGTATTTCTCTTCCAGATGGCAGAAAATTAAAACTACTACAATAACTGCTCCATATTCCCAAGAGAAGCAAACTACTTTATTTCTGCAATACGAAGTCATTTCAAAGAACGCCTACCTTAACATTTTAATCGAAATAGGATTCTGTAATGAAGAAGTTTAGCGACCAAAGACGAATTTCTTAATGAGAGGTTTTAATTCCTTTTCTTCCTTGTCACTAAAATAGGTATTTGTTGTACACTCAGTTTAAGCTGAATATCTTAAACGATTCTATTCCTTCATGTCTCTGCCTTTGCCCACACGAGAAAAACCCAGATATTTTATTTCGATGGGGTACACTTGCAACGATGCACAAATATCGCCATTCTCGCATTGAAATAAAACTTATATGATGACGTCAAAATCGGGAGGGCTCCCGGCCCTAAAGAAATAGCCTCGACAAGACGGTAAGAATGCGTCTGCATCTCCCGGGCGTGATCTTGTGAAGACATAATATTCCATGCAAGACAGAGCTTAAAATGACGATAGACCATACGAGAAGGTTTTAGAATTGTTTGTATTTTGTGTTTTTAACTAACTTACAGATTTTGCGGACAAGTAACTCATTCCATCGGCAATTTGCCAAGCAAACTTTATCAGCTGCTGTGACGTCAGATTTGTTTGTGGTTTGATATCTGGGTCTTTGTAGTAAGTGTCTTTTAATCCACGGCTCTTTCTCAGGTAACCCAGCAGATCCCCAAAAGGCACATATTCAATCAAAACCAACAGCTGTTCTGAAGAAATTAAACAATTTAATTGATATGTTACTCTCTTAAAAAAAAGCAGTAACTGAAATAGATGAATAGCCCAGTCATGGTCAACACTTTTGAAGAAATCGCATGAAAAAAAGAAATACTATGTGACGGTCTCATAAGAAAGTACAGACTAATTATTCCCTTACAAAAAGCGTTTCTGCTTCTACAACAGAATGATCTGTTCAGTGGCAAATATTCGGTCTTAGTCTATCAGTAAATCCAGGAACGTCTGTGTTGGCTAAAACAACATAAAATTACCTTATGCGATGGTTGTCTGTTTTGCTCAGTTGTGAAGCGGCCACTCTTCCATTGAGACAAATTATCAATGACGAGAAAGTGTTACAAAGTAAATCATAAGAAAAATGTGTACAACAAAATTAGACCCACATAACCAAAGCATACCAGATTCTGTGACACATCCCAGAAGTTTAATGACGTAAGGATGTGGTTTCAGCTGCTTCATTGTGTCAAGTTCTTTCATCAGATCTCTCTTGTCCGATTCAGAGGCGTTTGCTGGAGCATTAAAAACAAGGAGTAAAATTTGGTTAACGGGAATAATATGCAAAATGTCGAAAGAACAATATGTCTTATGAAATGGCAAATAGCTAAATAACTACAGTAACCCAGTAACATTTCCTGAATGTCTGTAGGCCAAGACTCATTTACAGTACAAGAGCTCACTTTTAAGCATCTTAATAGCCACTGTGGTCGTTTTGGGACTCCCTCGAAGTCCTACTGCTGTTCCCTTGGCAACCTGACCAAAAGCACCTTTACCAATGATTTTTTCTATGGTCACGTTATGTTTAGGAACTTCCCAGCAGCGTGTTAATGGATGAAGAGGCACGTAATCAGCACCTGGAGGGGTGCTTTGGGCTTTTCTATCATCTTTATTGACTTCTATGAGATCCATGTATTCCGTATGACGCTGGGTGAGTTTTCTTGAATCAGGTAGACTTGGTTCGACATCTTCTAATAATGTTTCATTCTATTAAACCAACACACTGTTAAGGTATTCATATCCAAATCTGTTATTAATCCCAGTAAAAAGTACCACATGATTATAAAAATCAGTTCACCCAATTTTATCAGACAAATGTTTATATTCTTCCATGATAAGAGATTATATGTAGTTTATAACCTCTTGTACTCGTTATAACTAACATTTTGTTCTCTGCTTTTGAAACTATCATGTCCAATAGAGTGATCGATAGCATATTCGTCGAAGCTACAAACTGCAACGTGAAGATTATCGATTGGTAGTCCAATATTTTGACAAATAAACGCACGAAACCACTCTTGCAGTACCAAGCTCCTAAACTCACGTTTAGAAAATAAGGCATCAAGAAAATGAGACGGCCAAAAATTCGTAAAAACAATCAGTTAGAAAGCAAATATCAACCGAGTGCAGACAAGTAACCGATCTATGAAGTGAAGCCAGGCAGTAGAACCAGGGACAATCGAAGGAAAATCCATGGAGTGGCTTGGTAAAGGACATGATCACAGGACAAAGACCTTATCAAGCCTAACTTCCTTTTTTATTTCATTGTATCTACCACTGATGCCATATGCTTTTTTTTTTTTATATAGAACTACACATTATTTCCTTCTTATTTGCTGCAAGCGTTTATTTTCTAATAGAAAGTAGAGGTAAAGTAAGAGTACATGACTTCTGGCCACACTAACATGACCTCAATGTCTTAGCTGTAACTTACGTTGCAAACACGTCTTTCATCTTCATAAGTCCTACAATTGAGAAAGCATAGAAATAATTATAAAACACTAAGAATGAAACCATATAGGGCACATTACACCGACACAATCCAACTTGAAGAAAATTCTTACCTCTGTTTCTCTACAGCGCCTGAAAAAGAACGAAAGGAAAAAAAGACAAATGATGTAAATGTGGGTCAAAATTTTTGTTTAAAAATGAATCTTCCAGCCAAGCCCTCTAACACAGATAATGATTTTTTACTTACCTTTCTTATGTAGCCAGATTATGTAAACAATTAGAAGAAAGATTGTGAAGGCAAGAACCCCAATTATGGCTAACAAGACGTTGTTGGATGGGCAGTTACATTCCTCAGGACCTAAAATGATTCATTTTACAAAGCTTTATCAACTAACATTCAAACAACATTTATACTGATCCTGGTCGATACACTGCTCTTACTACATAGCTCAGGTTCATGACCGGAAACGTTAACTCTAATTGGCTTGGTACAAAGGAAGAGTAAGGTGCTACTCTCTCTAAAATAATTTTTAAAAATAAGATTTTGTTTAATTAAATAAAACAACAAAAACGACAAAAACAAAAACCTGGACATGTATCAGTCACAAAATAAGTTGTTTAATTAAACAGATACGGAATACAATTATAAACAGTCCATCTTCGGAAGAATACATGTAAACATTTAACAATATGTTTGTAAAATTTACCTTTTGTTGTGCTTTCCGAGCCATCTGTGGGTATTAAAACTTGTTTAAATGAGTCTGGATTAACTTTAAAACCTCCGAATTTGTCTTGCCTCGCAGCATGCGACAGGACCATCAAAACATTGCTGACGACTACATTTTGATTGAACCTCATCATGAAGTCAAGAACAACACTGCCACACCTAGATAAGGGGGGGGGGGGTGTCAGAGAAAAGGGTATCATCGCACACATTCGTGACTTTTACCTGTTAAAATATATTGAGATTTAACCAATGTAATAAACCAAGGTAAATAAAATTAATTCATGTCATTCGGTGCCAATATATTACTGTACATAAATGTAATTCAAATATAAATTATCTTGCATTAAATAAGATTTGCTAGAGCAGAAAAATCAGTTTTACCGCTAAAATACAACACATCCCTCCTGGAACGCAAATTTGCGTTCGCGTTCGTTGTTTCAACGTAAAACAACAAACTGTACCTTACCTGGTGTTCACAGTGTTGGCGGATGAGCAGCCAAACTTAAAGGAAATTTGACAAGCCTAAAAGGACATATCAAGAAAAAAACGTATATTCAAATGCTTATCACATATTGAAGATCTTTCAAAATAACATTTTTTTAACTGATAACTGATTTTTTAACTGATTAAGATGATTAACTGATTAAGATTCACTCTTCATGATAAATCTCATAGCAGTATTCCTTAAACTCCAGTATATGGATCAAGTAGATTATCTAACCATTTCTGGAAATTTCGCAGCAACTTCTGAACGTCTGCTACAGTTCTCCTGTATTGTCGCTGTCAGGTAAACGTCTGTGCTTACTGTTTGAACGGGGAAAAACAAAATACGACTTAAAATGAACGTTTGTTTGTTTGCACAAAAATTATCATTTGAACTCATGTATAAAAACAGCCTTTACTTACAAAGAACACTGGCATCAAATGTACGAATGGGAGGTTAATTTGAGAGACATTGTTTTTCTTGTGTTTTGCGTCACGATGATGTTCTCAGAATCGTTCCCCTAGTCGTCTTCCTTTTTTGCCGAAGTAAATTTTTTAAATAACCGCAAGTTATGAAATAGATGACATTGATGGTGGCAGTCTCAACATTATTTATGAAAGGAAAAGTTTTGTGTCATGCACGCGAGGTTAAAGCCTTGGGTTGATCATTTATTTAGGAAGTAATTCTGACCAATGGGCAATAGGCCACTTCTGAGTTCTCGCGGTTCAGTAATCTGTTGTCGAAATTACGGCGCGCAGAGGAGGGTAACTGCGAAGTCGCTCTCATTGGTATGAAGAATAGAGTGCAGTGGTGGTGAAATGAGATGAAAAGTTCTCAGAATTCAGTGTGGGAGAGTGAACATTTCTTTGTGGGAGAGAGGCATCAACTAAGTGATGGCGGCACGGTTCCACTTTAGGGTAATTGTATTGTCTGTTGTTTCACCTGGCAGGTCGTCTATTTTGACCACATCTGGGGCTCCTAGATTGATGTCAACAACACGAACAGTGAAATTTCTAATAATTATACAACTTCTTGATAAAAACGCGGTCACAACCATTATTAGTGATTAGATAATCTGTAATTTGGTCAAGGATTTTTTGGCAATTTTTGAAAAGAATGTGTATTGCAAGCAAAATTGATTTAAGTATTTATATATTTACAGTCATAATTTAAAATAATTTGAAAGGACAAAAAGTGATAATGAGATGCCTAACGATAAGCCTAAAATGAAGCCTAACATGAAACAAATACTGCATTTACAAGGTGAATTTGAATAATACACTGACCACTACTGGCATTTAGTTGCCACTCACATACGATAAATTAAATGACAGATACATTCATTTGTGTCACGACGTAATTACAGAAAGTTTGACTTCGCGCACGACTTAGTGTAGGCACTCAGCCATGACACAACGGAAAATGAGTGCGCATGCTCTGCTTCTCGAGCCATTTGAGTTTCTACTTCTGCAAACATAATCTGACGCGGGTTTTTCCGCCAAGAAAACAAACTTTTCTCTCCAGAGGTTTTCCAACTGAGGAGGCAATGACAAGAAGCGCTAAAGCGATTACAGGTGCTACGAACTTCATAGCGATATTCAACTTCTCATCTTCAGTTACTAAATTCACACCTGTTGCCACAATATATTTTTTTTTTTTGAGTGAAATAAATGCCGGATGAAGTTCGACAGAAACTTTCCTGGAAACGGCAGCCTTACTTGTTTTGGTTTGGGCCTATCCCTACGAAAATAAAACAAGCTACGGGAATTTTAAAGCCGTCATTTTCTCCCAATAGACAATATATACTTAGGAGTATAACTTAACAGACGGTATCACCAACTGGAATTAGCTCTAAAACTGCTCATATGTAAGTCTGTGACACAGTTTTGAAACAAACCAAACCTAGCTTTAATGCAAGAAGTACTACACGTATAAAACAAAGGAAGGCTTTGCGCAGCAAGTCTCCAGAAGTGAGCACAGAATGTCAATAAAGTAAGTAGCAAATCCTGATAGCTATGGGACCCATGGAAGTTTGATTCTTTTTAAGTGCTTTGAATATAGCGGGTAGGTATTTAAGAAAACGATATCCACCACCTTAATTATAACCAAGAGGTTTAATTTCGTGGTTTAGCTTTTTAAATACCTATCTCAAACTTTCTTCGTATGGTGTTATTTTCTCCATTTTATCAGGTTACAGCTTATGGCTTGACTTCTTTCTCACGCACTCTGTATTTTTGAACTCGTGCTTTTCTTATCTTGAAGAAAATATACGGAAGATACTTCAAGGCTGTCGAAAAAGTGTTTGATGAGATTTCCCCATAATATTGACATATTAAAAATGATTTTCATGAAAGGCCCATTACTTCAAACTTCAATTCTTTTATCAACCGATGTGTGAAAATTGCCTCACTGTTAAAAGGGATAGTTGGTTATTGCCCGTTCTGAATGTAGCCGGTAAGAGTTTAGATAAACTGTATCCAACTAACTTACAGATCACTATCTAGCGGCTGTTGTTGTTATTGGTTTATACCAAAAGATTATGAGACGTGAACATCTGAAAAAAAAAACAAAACAAAACAAAACAAAAAACCACAAGGCAAACAATACTTGATAAAACAGGTAGCATTTACGGAACGTAACTGCGTAGTTTGTCTCTTGTTCTCGCCTACGCTCACCTGTGGTTTGTTATTATGCTTCTTCATACGTAGGTACCTCTCCAATAACTATCAGAGAGGGCAACGAAACTGGCCACCAAGGAGGGGACAATGACTTAAAATCAAAAATCTTATAATGCGGCAAGCAGATAACATTGTTAAAACTGGGTTACTCACAACAAATCTAAGTTAGCAACAAAATGATTAGTGTAAAGTGCTCAGTCACGATATCACTTGTGATTCCTCACCTTCAAACTTGGTCTTAATGTTCCATACAGTAGGATCTCCCTCGAATACGAAATTTCTGGTAAACAGTTTCACTGTGTAGTTGGTATTTTTCTCCAAACCACGAAACAAATAAGATGTCGTCCCAGGATCAGTGATTTCATCCTCTTTTATCTCAGTTTCACCCTTTTGTAAGATCATTCGGTATCCTGTAATCCGACTTCCTCCATCATCAGCTGGTGCAGTCCATCGTATTGTTATAAAAGTTGCTTGAATGACTGATTCTGATGATTTGATGGATGCTTTCCCAGGTTTCTCTACATAGTGCCATAAAAGAGATCATTTCGAGCAAAAGAAAAAAAATTTAACGAGAAATTTTTTTTGGTGATTACCTAACAGTGAGTTTTGTTCAAAATACTTAGGATTAATGAATATGCATGTAGCTACTGGATAAATTCAGCCAAGAACCTAATAAAAAGAGGAAAATTCAGAGTCCATGATTGGGGAAGTGTCATGGGAGGATGTCGCCAATCTGCTTGAAGTTCAACGCTCTTTTGTAACCAAAGGGCATGGTGTGGTTAATTTACAGTAAATCATTTTTACAAATGTGGGTGCATTTTCCACTAAAAGATCAGGCAAACTATACCCGGCATAATTCCAGTAATATTCTATTATACCTCATTGGGGAAACGAGGGCGAAAAATATGTGAAGGTCTAATGCTGCTAAAGAGGGAAAAAATGTGAACGGAACGCTCAGATAAGGCCGCTGGCTGTATGTCGAAAACTAAGCGGACAAATTGTTAGAAAATGAAAGAATAGTAGAATAATAAATCCCTTATTCGATGGTTTAACATACCCTTATATTTTTCAACACGCTTATGGGCCTTGCAAAATATCCGCACGTATTAAATGTTAAATCATCGAATGAGATGTACAAAGTGAATGAATTACTCTGTCCAATACTTTGTAAGAAAATTTTTTTTTCCTCTAATACAACTGAAACAGTGATAATGAGCAAAAAGGCAAAAGAAAATGCTGAACTTGTATGTAGTTTTCCTCTCATCAAAATACACTGATCTTTTTTACTTACTTATCTGATTTATGTTTATTAATTTCTCATCAGATGGAGTAAGTCCATTGGCAGCAATGCACTTGTAATGACCAAAATCTTGATCACCCCTGAGTAGCACTTGTACTTTGTTTTCTTTGGCTGTGACATTGTTTATTTCACTTCCTTCAGGTTTGTACCAAGAGAGTGTTGGTGTAGGAACACCATCAGAAAGACACTTCAAAGTCACTGTCTGACCAATCCAAGACTTCTTAGATGACGTGGTGACATTTTGAATCGTGGGCGGGTCTAAGAATAAATAAAAATGCAATAAGCAATTGAATAAATAACTGGTGATACTTCATATCAATCAGAACATTAATGAGCTTTATCATTCCATTAATATGTCATTTTACCAAATAAAGTAATGAAAACGGCAAAATATGCCACAGTATTACACCTTAGAACAAGCAAAAAATACGTAGCAACATATTGGCCGCACTGAACGATCCAAACATTGATTTTTTTTTGTTACCTTTTTTTAAATTTGATATTTAAAGAAGCGAATTTTTAAGCAGGAAAGAACACAAATAACACTGAAATGGTTTAGTTATAGTTGTTTTCGTCTTCCGCGTACACCTTATGTGATGGATGCGATACACAGATAAGGCCGTAAGATGTAATTCGCACACTAAAATTAAAATACTAAAAACTGAAAATAATAGTAGAATAATCAATCCCTTGTAAAAAGAATAAGAAAGATGGTAAGTTTTGAGCTCGGTAAAGAAATGGAGAATTTTGTTTTTTGTCTTGTCACGAGCATGGGACAAAGAATAAATTCTGAGTTCCCATAAGGAATCAAAACTCAGACCTTCGGATTCCGTGCTTCGATGCTCTACCACTGAGTCATAGAGACTCTACGGAGAGCGAGGCCCATTACGAAGTTCACGTGTGACACGCGTCCTGCATGCTGCTAGGATCAGCGATGTCGATAGCGTCGTGTTTATAAATAGAATAAGAAAGATGGTAAGTTTTGAGCTCGGTAGAGAAATAGAGAAGGATGTTTTTTCGTCTTCATTTTATCAAGAGCGTGCATTTTGCTTCCGAACTGTGATCGCGTATTGAAATAGATCGAGTGCTTGCATTGTACTCACAAGCATCACATGGTCAGCAAAGTATTGTTTATAGTTTTCGAATTCAAGAGCAGTTTTTACAATATCTGTTTGCAATTTTTTAATCCGTTTATGTAAACTACCAGTTATTTTGTGTTGAATTAATCGAGTTATACCCTCGGAAATTCGTATGTGACCATCAAGGATAAATTCGTAGCGACAGCACGAGTAATTAATGCACAAATTTCCAGCAAATGTTTGTCACGTTATCAGTTTACAATTCATGAACCATGTCCATAACTTGCATGGATATTTTCTTTTAAATTCCTGAAGATAAATTCGTATCTGCGCCACAAATGAAGCACATTTCTAACTTTTCATACGATTTTAGAAAACCATGTTTTATTTGATGTTGACTATCGCTCATTTGGTGTAATTCGTTTCCCAAAAGCCATTTATGACTCTGAAGGTACTGAGCCCGAAACAGCAAAACGAAACGACCGAAACAAAACAAGCGAAACGAGCAAAACGAAACGACCTTAGCGAACAAAACGAAACAAGTCCAAAAAACGGTCAATAAATACATATTAATATTAAACAAATAGAGAAGCCTTGACTGTGCTCTGTTCTGTTATAAAGCACGCAGGAAGCGGCTAGAGCACGAGAGAAGTGTAGGGAGAAACACGAGACGTAGTCGAGTGACCGGAGATCGCCATGATAAGCGAGCCGCGATAGACTTCAGCATGATCATATTCGCGCAGACACCGTCATGATTAGAATGAATTTTAACAGTTATGCCAGTTTGGTTATATTTTTCACCATTTCCGTTTTGTTCAGTTTTGTATTTGAACACTGAACGTTATATACTCTACGAGTGTTAGCTGTGTTTGATTTTTATTTTCGCACGTAAGCTTGCAATCTAACTGAGCGTGAAAATTTTTAAAACTCGGAATGTCTATTTTGTTTTCCCTTTGAGGATTTTCGTATCTGCTCACGTTTCAATAACGTAAATTACGGCGCCTGGTAAGTTTACAAACCTTTGTTTGGTTCTTCTGTTGCTACTTGCCGGCTCGCTTGTTCCGAAATTTCACTTTCAATTATCGGAAAAAAGCTAAAAAGAAGTCCCGGAAAAGGTCGAACATAGTACAATTTGGCAGATGGCGTGACAGCTTTAGCTCAGCTCTATGCTCTATACTCTCATAGAGCACGCTCTTTCAACCAATGACAGCGCGCGTTATATCCGAACTTTATTATAAATAGATTTAGCCAAACCTCGTCAAACAGTCAACTGCTAAATGCTTAACCTACAATACAAACTATTTTCAACGACTGACTTTGGAAAGCTGGTTTACCAACTTAGAACAGACGCCTCTCAACAGATGTCAACAACTACCGGCACCTTGCAAACGACTCATTAACGACGTGAACAAACCGACAAACAGACCGACCAACAACAGACGGATCGAAACCGACCAATGACTGTTAACAAACTCTACTCGAATCTTCCAGCCAATCACATCTCGGCTAAACAGACCAATCACGTTCAACAGACCAGACGTTATAACATCATCGACTGACAACTACTCTCTACTTGACTCTGAAGATGACTATCGCACAGGTTGTCGAAACGTCAGTCACCAACAACAGTTCTTTTCAGAACTACACTCACCCGGACGATCACACTATACGAACTACTGATACTCCTGGGTTCAAACCATTTACTTTAATAATAATAATAACATAAAATGAATGTCCAAGGGTATCAGCCGACATATTCGTCTAGTTCCAATTATGATCTACTCCTGATCTACCACACGGGGAAATTAAGATATCTCTCGATTGCCATCGCCTTGGCGTACAGCTTCGAGGAAACCTTTTTTTTTAAAAATCACGGAAATAGACGTTGTCAATGAATACCGTTATCTGTTTCTTCCTCTTCTTTCCGTGTACGCTTTGGTATTAAATATGGCTGGCGTTCCATCGTGGAAACAAAATATGTGTCAAATTATAGTTTCAACTGCTCGCGGAATAAGATCAAAGTTTTGTGAGACGGTCTTAATGTTTAAAAGCCTAAAATGCGAGAGAATATCTGAAACGATATCTACATTTTCCGCGACATTTGATCCTCCACTCGTCTCGATCGTTGTAGTGGTTTTGTTGCAGTCATAACGGTCGTTTCGTTTCGCTTGTTTTCCTTCGGTCGTTTCGTTTCGTTTCGCTTGTTTTCCTTCGGTCGTTTCGTTTAGCTGTTTCGGGTTTTAGTACCAACTTGAAGGATGTTATGTTGTTTAGGTAAAATTTCTTAGACGGCCGTCTATTGCACCCAGTTTACATGGGGAAACAACTGCACATATAATTCCTATCATAGCTGTATTCCGAAGCATAAACATGTAGGTAATGCTTCTGCTTTACTTTGTTGTAATGTATATCTTTATATAAGTCACATAAAACGTTTGATTTCCCCTCTAAACTGCTTGTAAATAATTAAATTTTATGGTTTAATTTATTTGTGAGAAAATAAAACTTAAGCGTGGCAGAATTCCTTTTCCTGAAATTGAAGTCAGGTGAACAGGTGTCAGTAATGCCGTATGATTCTCCAGAATTTGCAATTCTAATACTTTGGTTTTTTTTACAAAGCCTCTTTTATATCTCTGCGTGCCAGCCAATGATTAAAATCTCAGTGAAAAGATGGGTCATATTTTCACAGTTTTTTTTAGTTTCATCTTTAAGGTTTTTTGGCATTTACTGTTTGAAAATTCATAAAGGGCATGGCTTTTTCATCCTTGTAAAGAGGTGTTACGCATTTCGACATTTTAAACCCAAAGTAAGAGGTCAATTTTATTTTAATTCGTTTGAAACTTTATTCTTCGTAAGAAAATTTGACTGCCTTAATGCTTGATATGCTTCACCCATACATGTCAGTTGTGTACACCTACCATTATAGAGGAGTCTTAAAAAAAATTGGGATCAATATCAGTATCTGGGCAACTGCCCACTTACCCCTCCCCTAACTCAACAACAGTCAATTGACAACAAGTTAAGGTTAATGTTGGGTTAGGGGAGGGGTAGGTGGGCAGTTGCCCAGATACTGATATTGATACAAAAATTGTTTGGTATAGCTCTTGTTCTCTGTTAATCTTTGTACCCAAAAAACCAACGAAAGCACTGAACTTCAAATTTCGTATACACAAAGCTTCCTCCTAGGTGGAAGAATAGAATTTTGCCCATTTGGCAATTGCACTTACTGCAGTGGTTTTCCTACTCAACTACAAGTTAGTTAGATTTTAGATTCTTCTTTCAAACTTGGTGAGATTAAATTTGTTCATATCATATGTTTCATTATGGTTTGTTCACATGGAAAGGTATAATGATAACTATTATTTCACATATGGTTTTCATGTAAAATATGATTTTTCAATAACTTTATTCCTTTCTCTTAAACATAATTTTTTTTTTGGAGCATAATCAAAGGAAGCAGGTTATAGGAACTTTTGATTCAGTGAAATGCTTGAATATATGAGTAACATTTGATGTTTTTACATGATACGGGATGGTACAGCTGAAGATGGCCCCAAAAAGGAGTGAACTTGAGTGAAACAATTAGGTGACTAATTTGGAAACTTGAGCACTTGGTAAATACACCTTGGCTTGTGCCTCTGATGATTAAAGTTTGCTGAAGTAATTGATATGCCAGTCCCCATGCAGGAATGTCCCTTCTTTATGACCTCAACAGTCATATATTATGAGATAACTGTTAAAAATGCAGTTATGCGTGGCAGAACTCCTGTAAGTACAGTACGTGCCACCTAGTGACGAAACTTAATGATTTCCTGTGAGTATGAACGTATAGGAGAAGGTAAGGCAGGACAGTACTCTAATTGACCTATTTTGCAAGGATGCATGTGGTTTTAAGGTTTTAAAACCTTTCAGCTTTTAAACTTTCAACTTTATATTAATTGTAACTGTTTAAGTTATTCATTGTGCCTAAAGCATGTAATGTTATTTGGATGGCATTAAAGACTCAGACTCAAGCTTTCAGTAATGCATAGTGTTCTTACAAATGCTGATACTCAAACTAAACATTGATATGAGAAACTGGTCACATGATATGTGACTTTTATAGGGTGGGGATCTGGAAAAGCAAGAATCCTCCTACAAATAGGACGGAATCAATGGGTACCCCCCTCTATAGATTCATGTTTTTCTTTGACCTGCC